ATTAGTGAAAATCCGTACAGTTCAATAATTTGTAAAATGAAAAAAGATGAGAATGAGTCAAGTAAATTGACTCTAAATATGTCAAGACTTAAAAGTTCAAGTGGCCATGTAACAGCAAAAAAGGATGATATCCATAATAGCGCCTTTTTTAATACTGTGATCTTGACACTAGGCACATGGTCATGTAATTTGTCTGCTAATAATGTTGTAGTATAACTTTGGTGTATGCTGCTCATTTGCCCTTAACTGTATCCCAGAGCTACTTCCTTTCCACAACAAATAGGGCAACAGCATAACAAAAATGGAAATTGGAATATTATGTAAAAACGGAACACAGGAAAAGATTGGAACAGTGTATGCGGGATTAAAACGGTGATTGTATTCTGGCCATAACTACCAATGCTAAATGATATTGTATGTCTCATCTATTTCACTTCTGTGACTGCATTGAAAAACAGGCTTGTTGTGATTAGAAGCTTTGGAAAGGCAAAAAGCATTTATGACTATAAAGAGCACACATTTCCCTGAATATGGGATTTACAAGCTCTGTTTTTATTTCTTTCCACTTGCAATGGGAAACTTTTGCCAGGATCACTGTAAAAAAAATTGTATGTTATCAGTGTCCGCTCATATATTCTGGAAAGCACCTTGTGCTGTTACATGGCCAGGCTTCAACTGGAACAAAAAGGCTGCTTTACATCTGCACGTTACAGAGCCAGCCCTGGAAATATTTAAATGGGGATTTCAACTGTCTGAGCATTTTTATGCACTCTCTTAGTCCACCTAACATCAAACTTTAAAAAAAAAAAAAAAAAAAATGGAATATATACATGATAGGCCATAGGAATTGTAAAGTAGCCACCGCTCCAAAATCATACCAATGATGGACTCTAATCTCAATACAAATTAGTAAACTAAATGTGAGATTGGAGCAGTGACTACTTTACAACACACACAGGGACCATGGGAAACAAAAGTAGCCACCCTCCAGAAGGAAGGGCAGTGTCAGCACCAATTCAGAGATGATTTGAGGATCTACATCTGAGTGATACACAAATAAGATACATTTTTGTTAATAGATAAGGTATTTGAATGCATTTTAAAATTTAACTCCTGAGTTTAGTGTCACTTTAATATTAGGCGGGTGGTCATAATGTTATGGCTGATAGATGTATAGTGTTCTAAATGTTTTTTTACTAACTGCCCTGTAATGTGTCACAAAGGCTGCAATCTCTTCAAGGTGTGTTAATGTTTACAAAATGTTTCTATTTAATTCAGTTATATATGTAGATGGAGGCAGTCATATACTGTATGCTTATTGCCGCACAGTGACTATGCTTTATTATTGTTCTTTTTGCTCAAATAGCCTGAAACAGCTCTTTGCAGTTTGAAATAAATAGCTCTAAAATATTGAGTCTACAAATCAGTCTTATGCTACAAACCCCTGTAGCATGCCTGTTAGGAGAGGGTCATTAACCCTTTGTAAGCTCCAAGTCAGTCAAAATTCAAAAAACCAAGAAAGGGCGCAGAGAACACTGGCTAGTTAACAAAGTAGTGATGAAAAACTGAAGGTGGTGGCACTTACGTGTGAATGCCAGGATCTGGAGATGGACGGCCGGTATGGAGGATCAGGGCACTCGTGGTGTGGTGTCCGACTGTGATCGATGTATTAATCCAAGAGGTATATCCACGGGAGAGTGTAGATGAGAAGAGGGGACTTCGTCTGAAGTGCCGTGAGGGGTCTGTGCGGTGTGGGAGAGAGGCAGGGGGATCACTGTGTTATCGGCAATAGGCAGCGGGCAATGGACGGGGCTGTAACAGCCGCAGCTGTGTGTGTCTCAGCGAGCGGTAACGGTCAGATCTGCTGGGGACCATGTGTAGAAGCAGCTGGCAGAAGACGCAAGTCGAATCCAATGCCGTGTTGGAGAGGGATCATTCAGACAGGAACCGGGTGTTGGATAGGGCTGTGGCAGCCGTGGCCGCGTGTGTCAACGAGCCGTCTCTGTCGGGTCTGCTGGGGACAAGTCCATCTCCAGATCCTGGCATTCACACGTAAGTGCCACCACCTTCAGTTTTTCATCACTACTTTGTTAACTAGCCAGTGTTCTCTGCGCCCTTTCTTGGTTTTTTGAATATTTACAATCCACAGGTTCTCCTCCTGTTTTCCAGGGCTGCACACACACCTCTAAGCTAATTTGTTGCCCATCCGAGAGCGCTGTTTATATGTTTTTTCAAGTCAGTCAAAATAAAGCTTATACAGAGCTTCTTCTTTCTTCTCACTGCTCTCATGAAGAAATAATGTGGTAGGGAAGCTAAGAAAAGTAATGTATATTCAGCTGCGGGAGTTTATTGTTAGGAGAAACTGTTGCTTTGCCCTGCATGGGCAAAGGAAAGGGTCAATTAAAATGAAGATTAAACCTCTATTGCGTAGATTTGTGATGGCACTGATGACATAAAAGCCTTCTGTTTTAAGAAGATTCCGCTCTGCTCTGCTGTGCTCGCACTGGTTTATGAAAGGCTTGTGGCTTTCTTTAAGACCAATAATGCTTCAGAGTAACTGAAATTTTATTTCAGCAAACATCGACTAACAGGTAGATAGCCACTAAACACAGAAGACACAAATTACTATAAGCCTCTCCATAAAATGTTTAACAGTAAGCAAAAAAAATGTATACGTTATTTAGAAAAATCCCTCTAAGATAAACACTTAAATAATAGCTAAAACATTTTTTTTACTGAAAACTCACTACAGTTTCTCTTGAAAGTATTTACTGATCCACACGTTGATCATGGCTGCTGGCTTAAGGACTTACTAACACAGTTTTGAATAGACACATACTATTCAATAGAGACTGCCCTTCAACTCCAAATATCTAAACATTGTAAACATTTCTAAGTAAGTAAAAAAATAAATGCATATGAAGCATTTTAAGGGTCGGTTGAACAAACAACATAAGCACGTGGGCCACTTGTAACTCCTTTTTTAGGCACAATTAACCAATGATACACTGTCTTGTTAGCCCAAATATGTGTACATTTTGAGGAATCATTTAGCCACTTAATTATGTAATGTATACAACTAGCATTAACGATCTCAACTTACGATTTGCTCATTCATCTTTGCATTAAATGTTTGCTTCTCACTAGGGAATTGATCTCTGGCTAACAAAGTACTGCTATCAATCTGCATACTAACCATTAGAATCAGCTTCACACCTGTAGGGCATTATACATTCCAAATGATCATATTCCACAGAGAAGAGACAGAGCACAGAGCACTGCACCATCATAAAGGGAAAGACATCAGCTATCCAAACTATGGGTATCCCATCTTATCCCGTTTATTTTCACATGGCATTAGGCTTACTGCAAGTCAGGCACCATTTAGTATTCAACACTTTCCTCTCCAATAAAGTGACCTTTAACAGAGACTAAAAAGCCAATAATCACACAAGTCAACAAATGCATTGAATTTCTTGAAGGTGATATTTGTGCAGCCATTTGCAGTGTACTTAGAAGGACCTGTCTCCAAACAGTGGAGAATTATCAGCATGACAAAGACAAATCTCTCCCAGTGGTACTGCATGATATTTTTTAAACACAAAGCAACTATGCCACATACATCACTGTATGTCATTGTGGGGCTTTGATATGTGCATATTTTTAGTTTTTCACATTCTATTTTGTTCTAAGTATTACCTTGCCGGAAGCTGTTAGGATGAGCTCACATGCAGTTAATGCTTTGTTCCGGGAACTATTATAATTAAATTATTAAATGCTTGATGCTGATTGGGAATGAAAAGGGATTCTGCTACAGAACATCTATCTGCTAATTAAGCTCTATATTCCTTACTAAAGATGTGGGAAGTAAATACTGACCTGAAAATATACTGCATCTGATTTTAATATACAACATTAGATCTTTGTTTACATTTATACCGGCTAAAATCAACCACCTTTTTTTAAATTACAAATGACTAACCTGTAATATCTGATTAACAAAACAGCAACACTGAAGGATACTTCCATCCAAACTTTCCTACAAGCAACTGAGAAACTATAACCTAGCTAAAAATGTACATTTCTTGACATCAATGCCTACATAATATCTTTTATAATGGCATGAATTCATCACAACTGAAACTAAAGCCTTGCTAAGAAGGGCCAGTTCAGCAGAAACTTTTTTCACAGATAGATAACTTTACAGAACTGTACCTAATGATTTGTTTTCTGTTGTGAATTTTAGAGTCCAGATGTAATTCCTGTATATGTAGAAGCTTCCTTGATTCCCACTTATACTCGCCCTCCTTACCATCTTGTCTTGAATTGTATTGTGATTGTAATGTCTTCCTTATATTGTAAAGCGCTGTGCAAACAGTTAGCGCTATATAAATCCTGTATAATAATAATAATAATACTCAACTGGCTAGAAAGGTTGCAGCAATGTATGCCTCATTCATCCTTGTTCGCACAGGAGCTGCTAAACCTCCTGCATTACCAGTTCTTCCTTCAGTGTGACAGAAGCATATGATATGTCCGGGTCTCTAATAATGGTCTATTTAATTAAAAATGGAATCTCCTTTAAATTAACACTGTACTCTTCCTCAGCAAATACAAGTAACAGTAGGATTTAAAAGCAGGCACCCTGAAGAGACTACATACACTCCCATTCACCTTCAAAACTTAATATTAATTAACCAACTTCTAGACTGAAGTCGGAGTTCTGACCACCCTTGCACAATTTTGCTCATCTATTAAGTGAATGCGGGGGTAATAGTTCCCCTATTTCAAAGCTGTAGAATGTAATTGTATATTGAGCTCCTTAGGGTTATAGGCTCCCAAGCACTCTGAGAATGGAGGTGCACACAGGCCGGGGCTAGGTGCCTACTTTAAGAACCTTGTGTTAAATTAATTTGCTGAGGGTAAGTACGCTTTATAAAATGTGAGTTCAAATTATAAACAGTAAGAAATGTCTAAATGCTGATGCTAAAATTTTTTACCTTCTGTTTGAAAGAAAGGGCGTGCTTTACTAATGCCTCTTGCTCTACAAATATCCATACAAACATCAAACAGGAAAGAGCCACAGGGAAAAAGGCTTCATACCTAAATCAAGAAATGAAATGAAAACCATGACATATATGCTGTAGACTTGTATTAGTTCAAAAGGGAAAAAAAAAACCTTAACTGTATACTAGAAAAATAAATGAGCAAACAATTATTAAATACAATATTAATTTCAATTAACTGAATGCAGCATCAGTAAAACATGAAAGCCTCAGATCAATACTATATTTTACAACACCATAATATTCTGTACAAACTGATCATGATTCTAAAAAGAGGTAAGAAAATAAATTCAACTATAGAAGTTTAAAATCTATTGTGCATTCACTGAAAATGGGACATATAAGATTATTACACTTATATTCCAGATTCTCATACTGTATTATGTCTAGACCCACAAATGGAAGTTATCTTTTTATAAAACAAAGAACAAGAAATAGGCTCATTGTTGTGGTGGTGGGGATTGAACTGTATTTGGCCTAAGGTTTTCTTGATTTATGGAAGAACCAACGTGCCCGCCACCATTATACTGTATCATAAATTAGTTTTGTTGTTGCATGAGAAATCATTGATACAGAAGTAATGTCAATGTTAGAATTAGGGTTATTCAAAGATTAGGGCTTAAAAACTAAATTTAGTGTTCATGTTTAATTGAGGGCTTAGGGTTAGTGTTAGGTGAGTTTTCACCATGAGTGTGAGGGTTAATGAACAAGGCATAGGAATATGTTTTAGGTTACAATTAGTAAATTAGTAATGTTAAGCGTTATAGATTAGGGGAAGGATATGGGTTGACATTTAGTATGAATTACTGCCATACTATGGAAGTCAGTGACAATTTACAATTTCTTTGCTTTGTAAAAATCAATGTACTCCTGGGGTGATCATTTGTCCTAAGTCCCACCTTACTGTTGTATTTTAATTATGCCAGTACCAGGCATGTAATAAGGAAGAAATCAACTCAAGTCCTTAGCAGGACTCCAGACAAGGGCAGAAATACATAAGAGCCAACATTCCATATTATTAAACTGTGTTTTTACAGAACATAGAACCTTAAACATGACAGAAGGTGTAGTGTGTGTTCTTCCAACAGTATAATTGGCCATAAACAAGCAGCATGAAAACTTTATCAGTTCATTTAAGTGTGGGCAACAGATAAGCAGGCACATGTTGTACATGCGTGAACACCACCATGTTATTAATGGTAATCAAAGGAGTAAGTGGGATTCTGACAATGCTTTGTTATGGTGTTTGCATCTTGGCACCTGGCATCACTTTGTTAGTATTACATTCTTCATCTCCTGGCATTGGCAACATGGTGCCATGCATGGCTATTGAAATATATTACTTATTTTATATACATAAAAAATCAATAATTCAGAGATAACATTAAAAATAATACCCTGTGCTGAAGAGAATATAGGAGGACATAAAAGAAAGAAAAATGCTCAGGAGCCGCTGGAACAGGAACGTGGTACTAAGTAATGGTGCAACCAAGGAAAAAACTGAAAGACAGAAGATGAAAGTCAGGTTATTAGATCACATCACATTTGATTTCTTCATCCCTGCAAAACATTATGCAGATCCCAATTAAACAAAGGGTGGGCTATAAATCTCCTTGCATTCTGTTGGTTATCCTTATTTGCTTGTTCTAACCTCAGCCAAGTGGACTAAGCTGATAGAAAACATATGGGAAATCAGATAAATGCAGTAAAATTGTTTCATACCTTTCAGGGACAAGAGGACAGATCTGTCTCTTTCAATCATGCTTGCTTAGCAGCATGAGGCAAACCACATTCCATTTCATGTGATTATACCATGTTTCTACACACTAATTGCTTTGTAACTTCAAGAGAAAGGTGCGGTAAGGACACCATACTTGTCCTATGTCAGGCAAATAGGCGTTTGTTATTTTTAGAAAACCTGGTTATCACAATATGCTGGCAGAGAAACCAGGACATCAAAAGCAAAGTTTATTGCATGTTAAGATGTCATTTAAAGAGAACCTGTCTCATTCTAAATTTCAGTTTAATACACATCCAAAGGACCATAGTTGTATGTGCAGGAATGGTATGCACATTTGGTTGACTTCATGCTTTTTCTAAGGCACAAGCACTATGGGACTGTGTACCTTTGTTAACAGTAGGCACTGACAAATATCTGCAGACTACAATTCCTTAAAGCTGAGCTGCAGACAAACAGATAAGGACAATACAATAAAACTGAAATGTGTGTTTATGAACTGTCTTTTCTTCCAAAGTATTTGTGATTTTGTTCATACTTTCTCTGTCAGACCCATGTCAAACAAGTGGTCCAGTCACTAGTGACAACTTGAAAGCCACAGGATCACTAACAGACCACTCACACATTGCTAAGGAGTTGCTTCTTTGCTATCTGCACCAGCAAGATGTCGTTTCCTTACTAGTGAGTGAGATTTGGCAGGCTTCATTGCCAGGGAAGGGGCGAATGAATCGAGGTAAGTGAAATCCTCTCCTTTGAGCTAAAGCAGAACTCCAAGTAAAATGTGTATTACCATTGCAGTGGGGCTACCCCCGCATAGCAAGGGTTAAGTGCTTATTTGTGTCTAGGTTTAAAAATAACAACAATATAACCATCCACTCCTCTGAGATGGCCGCCTGTGAAAGTGCTCCCTTCCGTTTATCTTTTCCTCCGCTGCAGTGATAGTATGTCCCTTGGCGTCCTCATGTCCTATGAAAGGCGTCTAGAGCATGACGACTCAGGGACCTTAGAACATTGCAGCAGATGGGGAACGAGGTGGAAGGTACCATCTTGCTTAAGAGCAAGCTGGCTTGGAGGATTGGGTGAGTATAACTTTCTTTATTTTTGAACCTATACACAAACAAGCACTTAACCCTTTTAGGGTGGGGGTAGCCCTGCTGCAAGTGTTAATAAAAAGTTTACCTGGAATTCTGCCTAAGGGATACAGTGGTTTCCCCTTCCTACCTGCAGCCTCCTGACTGGAGAATGCAGCAGTGGTAACCCACCGATACATCATCAGATCTGCTCATTCTGTTCTCTCCTCTTTTTGTACACTTTCTGTCAGCACTTGAGAATGCAGCTGAGCCTGATTGGCGTCTGGTGCTGGCCATACAGTGGTAGATTTTCGCACAAACCTTCATATGAAAGATTTCATCATAACATTTGATAATGCCATCAGAGACTTGATGAATGCCGTTCGAAATTACATTTGCTTTTAACATTCGACTTTGGAATTAATGAAATTTCACACACAAAAAGCACATTCATTGTTAGAATTTTGTTCATTGGTATGTGCCATCCTGCTCCTTCGATTTTTTTTCACTATGGTCAAAAACGATCGTTAGTTTGATCCCATTAACTATTAGAAAATCAAATGAACTTTCTGAAAACAAAATTTTTCAAACAAAATTCTACTGGTGTATGGCCAGCTTAGTACAATTACTTGTAATTACTTTTAAGGAATACACATCTGTGAAAGAGTGCTTTATGTCTCTCTAGAATTCAGGTTTAAAGGCTCATAAAAAAAAAAAAACTTTTTGCATATAAAATCTGTGTCTGAAATAGAAACAAATGTTTTTATAGCAATAGTACTAGTGTCTATGAAAGAGTTAAAACATTTGATTGGTCTTGAATAAACAACCAATTCCTTTTTTTAAACACAAAATAGTTGTAAAGGGTATTTTTATGACCCATAAGTTCCATTTGCTTGTGGAAAGATAGGCAATGTTTAAGAAGCCTATATCAAATGGTCTCTGGCTACCAGGACCATTACAGATGTTTCAAGCCGTTAGAGACTGCAGAGAGCCTGATGTTTTCAATCCGACAGACCCTGTCTGATAGGCATTAGTGAGACTGGAGGACCTGCAAGGCACAACACTAGGCAGTGCTGCTAAATAGGAAGCAGAGCCTGTATATGTATTGATTTCCCCCTGTGTGTATGTAATTACAAATAATTCATAGGAACCAGATTTTAATACATTAACACACACAAAAATTTTTTAAATTAAGTTGATCATGTTCATATCTGTATCTAACAGGGTTATTCACAAAAGGGTGAAGAGTTTGGAGAAGGCAGGAGAAGTGAACAATCTAGGACAACAGGAAAGTGAGCTGAATAAGATAATTTTTCCAAATCAGCTATTTTGGCCTAGATTGTTCACTTCTCCTGCCTTCTCCAAACACTTCACCGTTTTGTGAATAACCCTTTAAAAATGATAAAGACATTAGCATAAAAAATAATTTATCAAATCATAATTTTGCATTAAAATAGTTAACTTGTGTCATTGCTTAAGGGCCCATTCACACGGCTGCACAGTGGTAAAATATGCGTAACTGCAACACGTTACATACAAATGAAAACATGTTGGGATCAGCACCAAAAGGAGACACCAACGCCTGAATAATTTCGTAAATAACAACCAAAGAGAATGGGGCTTTTTAGGTGACTTCTAGACAATGCAAGGAGATGCAGCTAGATATAATGACACGTAGCTCATTTCGTAATAAATACATATTTAATAAATTAATATAGATTAGTATCCTGGCTAGCAAACATTGAATTAATAAAACGTAACACAATCATTTATGACAAGACCACATTACATGTATAATCAGCATAACACCTCTAGGATCCCGTACAGATTTGCATCATGCACAATGGCAATAATTAATATCTTTTAACATTGAGTACATTATACCAATGTCCATAGTTAATTGGTCAAATATATTGTCACATATTTCATTTTGTTCCATATTTCCTCTGACAAATCTGTACTTGTCCATTCTTCGACGCGTTACGCCGTAGCTGTATCAAGCAGTTTATAGAGGTGGCCATATATCAGAGATTCCTGATGACGAGCAAATTCGCACCTAGTGGAGTTCCTCCACTCAGCCAGGAGATAAGGAGAGGTAGTGGTGGCCTGGGGGCACATCTTATGGGGTATTTCCGCTTCTTAGATATCCCGAGTCAACTTGACTCTCCAAATTCACAGGTCCCCCTCCTCCAGAATCATCCACCGCAGACACACCCGCCGTCCATAGCGTTAGCGTGTGATGTCTGCGGCCGGATCCTAGAGGTGTTATGCTGATTATACATGTAATGTGGTCTTGTCATAAATGATTGTGTTACGTTTTATAAATTCAATGTTTGCTAGCCAGGATACTAATCTATATTAATTTATTAAATATGTATTTATTACGAAATGAGCTACGTGTCATTATATCTAGCTGCATCTCCTTGCATTGTCTAGAAGTCACCTAAAAAGCCCCATTCTCTTTGGTTGTTAAACACGTTACATACGTCAAGGCGTTGTGGTGCCATTTAATTTCAATGACACCCCAAATGGTGAATGTCCACGAATGGTTGATTTTTGGGGACATTTTGGTGTCTCATTCATTAGAATAGGTTAGCTCAACACAATGTACGTGTTAATGCATGTTCTTTAACACAACACACCAAGACTCTAAGGTTTAAAGGGCCCTAAAGGGACTCATATCATGAGAGATTATGGAGACTGCCATTGCTGAACTCTCCTTTGAGAATGCTAGTTCCCTGACTTTAATGCTGATACCTTGGCTTCAATGATGTTTAAGCGGCTGATCCAGAATACATATAAAAATAATGCAATTTTCTGATACTCATTTACATCATGCTTCTTCCAGGTCTGTGATTCAAAAATACCAAGTCAAATGCTGCCAGCCATGTAACATTATTAAAAAGGAGGCCAACAATGGCAACTACCATACTTCTCTCATGACACTTTAATACATTTAATACTATTGCTCTTAACTTCAGTTACATGCTATACACTTTATAAAATGATTCTCAAAATAATGATTGTGAATTAATTTCCTGGAATGCACATACACTAGGCTCAATTCACAAAGCTTTAACAAGGAGAAGGCTCTTTATTTTAGCCATGTGACTGTAATGTTTAAGTTTCATCTGTAAACAACTGTCACTTTTTGACAATAAAGATTGTTCTTCTTGTGTGTTAGCTTTGTGAATTGAGCTCACTGTTTGCTTCTGTGTTATCCAGCTACTGTAAATACAGAGATGTGTATACTATTTCCATAAATTATTTCCTTCCTCTTCTATGATGCACATTACTTACTTTTTTCTAAAGTAATCATGATATAAACCAACATAAAACTATGGGAATGAGAATGACATGTTTTACTCTTTGATGTAGTCTGTTTACAGACAAAGCACTTTTTTGCCTAAAATGAACTTTTGCATTCCCTAAGCATATTAATATAGCAGTAGCGTCCTAACGCACTACCATCAGCTGTTAAAAACACTTTTCTCTGTCCCACAAAATGTTCAAACTAAGCAGCGCTGTTAATGACAAAAGTCAAAAACTAAGCCATCATATCCTTTTCTAACCACTCTACCTGACCACTGTCACATGACCGCTATGTGGGGAGCAGAGGTGATTGTGACAGCAAGGGCATAGATATACTTGACGTACAGGCTGATTGACAGTCTGGCTTCCCTTGTTCCATG